CAGCTTCAGTAGTGCAGATTTCCCTTTCTTTCTGGTTCTGCATTCTTCTACTCATCAGTCTCCACTGTTTCCTTTACCTTTACCTTTCGTACTGTTCCTGGCTTCTTCACTGGAATGCCACTTCACCTCCACTGGGGGAAGTGCTAGCAGACCCCGGAGTGTGCCTTTTTGTCTCCTCTTTGACGTTCTCTACTTAAACAGCAGTAGGGTTTCCCCTTTGACACTCAGGATCTTTGGACCTTTACCTCCTGGTTGCTTTTCCTTGTTCATATTTGTATTTCCCCCTCTCATTCTGTCTAGGAATACCTCAATGTCTCTGATAAGCTAGAATAGGGAGGTCGTTCACGAACCTTTTTACCTCCTCAAGAAAAGTTGAAAGGGTTGCATTTAACGAACACCATCCTGGTGCCTCATCCCTGCAGGCACGGGGGCAGCTCCTGTGCCTCCTGCTCTTTGGCGGCCACCACTTGCCTCCATTTGCTGTCACCAGGAATCTCCCCCAGGATCCATGATTTGCTGCCTCCGCGGGACACCAGAACATTCCCCAGGGCATCTAGTGGTGTGTTTGGTAAAGCTATTCCCATATTTCCCTGGCACCATTTCTTTGCCAAATTGTAATCTGAGTCAGGCCCCTCGCCTATCACTAAACTTTCTATTTGTTTAAGCTGTCCTGGAATCCTACAGGGTATCCACGTGGGAAAAGGAAATCTCCCGTCCTAGTCCACACCTCTCTCCTGGGGAGCCTTTGCTCCCTCACAGCGGGCAACTGGCCTCTGTCTAAATGTCATGTTAAATTGTGTGTAAATCTAATGTACTCATGTGCTACGGTCTTTGGCAGCTGTATTTAAGCTTTCTATGTCACTGTTTCTTTGTTTTTTGGAACTGAAAATTGGCAACAGGCATGAACTTCTGCCTTTTTGTGGGGGACTCAGCATAGTACATGGCCTTTAGAACTCTATTTTGTCATCAATAGGAGAGACAGGTCTTAGAGATCATCTGTGCAACTTCCTCCTGTTTTAGATTAAGACAGTGAAGTCCAGAAGGGAAAAGTTCATCCACCAGCCATTTATTGGGCATCTGGCCTGTATTAGCTGATGAGAGGAATAAGAGGATACTGGATTCAATGCCAACCTTCTAGAAGCTTTCTGTCTAGTTGGAGAAGTGTATCAGGGACAAATAGCTACCATGCAAGGAAGAACACAGTAAGTTCAGTATAAACTGCTGGTGTGGGGCCAAGAAAAGGAAGGAGGCAACTCTCCTGGAGTTTTCAGTGACATCCTCACAGAAAATGACATGGGAACTGCAGCTTGAAGGCTCCATAGAGATACTGGGAACTGGGAACATTCCAGACAGAGACCTTGCTCACAGGTAAAAAAGCAAGTGGTTTAGATTGCTTTGTAGAGAAACATGAAGAAATAATGTTGGCAAAGCAAACTGGGGCCGGGGAAGGGTGTTAAGTACTTCCCTCCCCCCAGCTCCCCACCTCCCCACCAGGCTGATCCTGCTGACCTTAAAGGGCTCAACCAGAATGCCACCTCAGGGAAGCCTTCCCTGGGTACCTTTTCTCTATATTATCCCCTCTATGTAATCTCACTAAATTACCCTCTCACTGCATCCTGTTTATTTCCTTAATGGCATTAAACGGAACAGGCAATTACAGACTTAGTCATTTACTTGTTTTTGCCCTCCCCCCACTGGCCTGTAAGGTCTGGCTTCATTTGTCTGCCACCATACACCCAGGACCAAGCATGCCACCTCACTAGGTGCTCACCAAGCTGTGTCTCTTGGTATTATGAGGGTGCAGGCAGGGATAATGGAAACTAAACTGAACAGACATTGAAAAGAACCAACAAGTTTTGGTAGATTTGGTTTTGATTACCAAAGGAGAGAAATCAGGTTTGCGGCCCAGGGGGTAGGAAGATGAGTAAGGCAGTCTCTTCTTGTACATGGGAGTCAAGGAGAGGAAGACGGATGTAAAGAAAGATGTTCCAGGTGTGAGGTTAGAGGCAGCACAGTGTGGTGCTCAGGAGCACTGAAACTCAGCTCTGCCACTTATTAGCTGTGTGACCATTTTGTACCTCGGTTTCCTCATCTGGGAAATGAGGGTAATAAGAGCATCTACTGAATTAAAATGCATAAGTCACTTAGTAAAGTAGTGGAATAAATATTAGCTGTTATAAGTTCTTACAGAGCCTAATAGAGCACAAAGGGATGGTCAATTCCACCTATGAGGCAGAGGGGAAAGGAGGGGCTTCAGGAAAGGCAGCACAGGAGGGGAATTATTGAATCAAGTATTAAAATACAGCATCTTCCACGTAAGCAATATGGGGTGGCAGTGAGGGCATTTGTGGGGGTGAGCAAAAACAGTTTGTGGTGCATCGGGGAACTCATGGCTGGAGCAGACAGGGACATGACAAAAGAGGCATCAGGAGAGAAAGGCCTGATGGCCAAAGGGCCATGCTAAAGAGCTTGGACTTCTCCCTGTAGGTAGTGGCCACATGCAAAAGGAAGAGTGCATTAGATGGCTAATTCTGTCAGCAACATGGAGCATGACTGTGGGGACAGTAGGGCCAGTCAGGAGAACATCCTCTGGCACATGCTTGTCACTGTGCATAGGAAGGTCTAAATCCTTGTCAAAGCACCCACTTTCCAAGCCTTCAGAATGTGCTAGATCCTTCCGGTAAGAGTGCCCACAGCAGAGGAAGGACACACAGGTAGTTCAGTCAGTCTAACGGAAAACCCGCAAATCAAGAAACCTGCACGTGGCAACAGTGTGCCAACCCTGCAGAGAAAATTGTGTGGGAAGTTCATGGCTGAAGCAGCTTTTCTACTCTCCAGCAAAGCACATGGTGTATTGAGGCCTTTGTTGGTGAGGAAGTGAGGTGCGTACAAGCTGGTTCTGGTTTTTTCTGCAAACTGAACTGTGGTGGGGGGAGAGGCTTTTGAGGAAATTGGAATTTGAGCTTCAGAAAGTCATTCAGTGATAAAATGTCCTGGAGGTGCTGAGGAACTGACTGGATAGAGAATTAATGGGCTATGGAACTGAGGGATGAAGGACAGAACTTGAAGATACACTACTGTACTAAGTGCCTTAGTGAGGGAACATGTGCGAGGGCCTGAGTAGTTAGACAGGCTCTAGGCACTATCGGTTGAATTGTCCCAAGGAAGCTCACACTCAGCTCATCTCTGTAGTTTTCTCCCACCGTGGGCTCCTGTTAGCACCAGGCCAACACTGTCCCTATGGAAAGGGCTCTGTCTTTACTACTGACCTTTCTGCTTGAGCCCAACGTGCCTTTACAGTCCCCTTATGTTATGCTTGACCTTGACCCGCTCAGGACTCCACCCCCACCCCCACACTCTGAGCCTGTCACAGCTTAGCAGACACTTCCCTCTCATCCATATTAGCTGCATCCTTGAGCAAAACTTCCACACCTGGTTTTAGGTCAAGATCTTGCTTTCCTCAGCTCATTTCTAAAAGCATTTTCATCTTAAGATGAAGTCAGTCATTTGTATCCAAATATTTTATGTAGCTGTATCATCATCCTATGAATGTTAAGGTCTGTCAGACATGAGGAAACCCTGGTGAGATTAGAAGCAGGACTTGGGGGAGACGCCTGCTGACTCCTTGTGGAGATGGGGTGTGGATAAAATGAGAGTTCCTGTGGCCAGGATTCTCACCTGGCCATGGTTGACTAGCTCACTGCACACCTGTGGGCAATACATGGCTGTTGACTCTATAAAAAGAGCTCCGGCCAGTGCTCTGGGCATGACACAGTGGCAGGGCTGCAAGGCTGCAGGAGAGCAGAGGCTGGAGTGGTGGCAGTGCTGAGGACAGAGGCCCAGAAGATGGCTGTGTGGGATGGCTGTGCGGACAGAGGGGCCCAGAGGCAGAGACCGGCTTGCTGCATGCAGACTTGCTCTGAGTGAACGGGATTCTAGTGACTGACCTGCCACCTGGAAATAAAGTTGGGTATAACCCTTTCACCCCAAGAATGTTTTGCTGTCATTTTCTTTGTTCACACTGAATCCATAGTGAACTTGCCCGGGGATGAAACCCATTGGCAAGACACAGGGCTTTAGCCATGAGGGCACAGCCGCACTTTTAAGGGCCAGGAGCTGTCTGCCTTTGGTGTGTGCCAGTTACCTAGTATCTTCCCACTGGGGCCTAATTTTCTTCAGCACAGCTGCTTTGAAGAGCATCACCACAGCATGGTTACACGCCAGCTCTTTGTTCTGTTTGCACTTAGGAGCTGGATCTCCTTATGCTCCCACGGAGGCCACTGGGGACTCCTTTTGTCAGGCTGCCTTCTAGCGAGTGAGAGAATGTGGAAAGGCAGCACCCTGCCAAATGGAAAGCACCACAAATGGGGAAGGGCCACTGCCCTCACTGGGGTGCAGCCCACACATGGCAGGGCTGCTCAACCGCCATCATCATTCCTGAACTTAATTACAGGTGTACCTCCTTGGGCTTCTTCTCCACCCAAGTTGCAGGGACATTGGCCACATCTTAAACACCAACTTTAAGCACTCCTCATTTCAGAGGGCCATAGGCCTGACTGCCACCTCACCCTCATTTTCCCTTGGGATCTCCAGGCTTTCTGGAAACACTAGTAGTGGGCAGGCCAGCCTTTTCTGACTATAGGTATTACCCAGTTCCCTGCTGCTGACTTGGGCCTGCTTTCTCTAACAAATGTCTTTGCTGCACCTCTATCTTGTGCACCTTTTAGGAAAACGTCAGTTGGCACCGAGCAAGTGGACACCTCGATCCCACCCTGACGTGTGCTGAGACAGTCAGCATGGAGATGAGCATGTAGCTTTCACAAAGGGCCTGCCACAGCCATAGAGATCTAGGATCATCCAGAGGCAAGCCTGACCCTATCAGCCGATAGTCACTAAGTAGACAGCCTTTTGGCCCCCAAACAAAGGTTTGGGATGCTTCCCCCCCTGAGATACCCCCACCTTCCCTTCTCAGCTCCTTCAAGAAGGTCTCTGAGCCACAGTTCATTGCAACTATCGTTTATTAAAAAATATATGTCTCCTTGGAAGGAACACTGGTAAACCAACTAGTTGCCATGCTTGCTTTCTTTCAATCTTTGCTTTTCTTCCCTGGGAGGGGTAGAGAGCTGAGCATCATTCAGACCATGTCACTTAACCTCTGTGACATCACCATGCCCTGCTCACCCCTCCTCGCCAGAGTCACCATCAGCCATCACTTCATCTCTCTTTGCCTTCAAGCCAGTGTACTGCCCAGGTTAAGCTGCTGCCCTGTCTTTCCCCTCACTCTGGCCTCCGCACTGGACAGTTAGCCTCATGATGCTGGCAGGAGAACCGTTAACAGGTTTCCCAAACTTGGCAGGTAGCACTCAAAGCATATTCAACATGGCATCACCTGCATGGGTCATGACACGATGGGCTGGGAAACCACATACTCAACCCCAAGGCCGAGCATATCCACACCTCTCCCATGTGTCATGCCTCTGGCATGGAGGCAAGGGAGGCCTGGCAGTGTCAGAAGAGCACAGTGGGCTGAGGATGGGCCTAAGCCACACTGCCCCCTGCACCTGTGGTTGGAGAACAACTTCCTTGACCACAGTCACTGCCATCTGAGTCTGGGAAGAAGCAACAGGTTTCACATCTCACCAGTAAGGGAATCTTAGCTCCTCAGCTCAAACTGACAGCATCAGAGTCTACTTTCTTCCTAAGGAACAGTAAGGTACCAGCTGCCAGTGAGGGGCTGTGATGGGGCACAAGGCAGCGGGAGAACACCTGCAGTTAAACCTCTTGGCGCTCGGCTGGCCACGCCCGGTGCTGTCCTTCTCACCGGGCCCCACAAAGGGGCCCCAGGTGTCCCTGGCAGGTGAGTGAGGGGACCCGCTGCAATAGAGCCCCAGCTTCTGCACCCCCCCATTCTCCCAGCCCCCACTTCCCTCTTGCTGCCTGGACAGCCCCCCCACTCGATCACAAGGCCTGCTCCCCCAGGCAGCACGAGCCTCAAGAACACTACGAAACTGAATTCTACGCATTCACTTAAATAGTTAAAAGTAAAACTGGGGATAATGGAAAGGCTGACACAGTAGCACAACATGGTTTTGGTTTACAGCAGCTTAAAAAAGAACAAAAAGGAAACCTCTCATGCAGACACATCAGGTGGCATAAAACAATAGGCAATTTAATATGGAGCATCCTTAGCCATTCTCTCTTTCCACACATAGGGCTGACTGCACCTCAAGGGCAGCAGCTGCTTTAGGGTCAAATCTCCAACCCTCTCACCCCCAGGCAAAGGCCCTTCCTTGCAGGCCTCCTGCTCACTCTCTCCCAGAGAAAATCCCAGCTCTCAAGAGAATGACCAAATGTAGGGCCTTGGTACAACACTTCCTACCTACCATTTTCAATCCCTCCCCAACCAGTTGGGATAGAAGATGCCATCTAATTGGAATATGAAAATTAAAGCATTTCTCTAATAACATAGTACCATTGATGAAGTCTCCATAGATTTTCTAGTCCAAATGTGTGTGAATATATATATATTATGAGAGTGTATAATATATATATATAATAATTTCTATATATTTTATATAAATTACATATATATATATATCTATATATAAATATTTTCTGTCGCCATTACATTGCGCCGCTCGGAGCTGCATGACAGCAGTACAGAGTGGTAGACATGCCCAGGAGCACCTTGTCCCATGGCACGTGGAGCTCACTTCACAAGCCGTGCAGCTGCCCCGAGTCTGTCTTTCCATCAGTCCTCCTCTCTTCTCTTCGCTCTGCTTGGTTTGGATGAAGCAATGACTCCGGCAGGTCTGCACCAGTGCTAGTGCTGGGGGAAGGTCCATGCGGGAATGGGCACAGCCACACGATGAGTGAGATGGCATCATCCCCAAAAATAAACTAAAACAAAACCAAAATTTAAAAAAACAGAACAGGACTAGAAAACTCAATTTTTTTGACATAGCTAAAAAAGGGGACAAGAACAGTAGTCGTTTGTTCTCCCAGTGGGGACAGGAATGAAGGAGGAGGGAAGAGGGACTTGATTTCTTCTGTTCACAAGAGAATGGTTGGGGGGGGTTCTTCAGAGTTTTTCAGGGGATGGGACCCAAATGTAGTGCCCCGACTGGTCCTCAATGATTTGTTTGATTTTGTTATAAATCTCCTCCAGTGAGTCACCCTGTACAATGGCTAAAGGGAAAAGGAAAACACAATTATTACTATGTTCTGCACCCCCCAAGCCCAGCAACGCAGCCCATCCCGATTACCCCACAGCTCAGTCGCATGAGATGCACACCAGACGCAGGCTGGGTTGCCCCAGTTGGCTGGCTGCAAGCTGAGGGCGGCAAGAGACGCTGGCTGGCATACCAGATTCAAGGCTTAAAGTCAGCTTGTTGAGACAGTAAGACCAAGTAGCAATGAATATGAAGACGTTCAAAGATGTTGACCGAGCACCCATCAGATGCCAGACCTTGCGGTTCATGTCACTCTTGGCTGCCAGGAGGACAGCAGCTGGTCATTCTAAAGCAGCCTTACTCAAAGACCTGGAAAATCTTGGTTATCCAGACAAGAAGCTGAAGGCCACCATTGTGGCAAAAGGCAGTGCTCCTGGGGCCGTCACATCTGCTCTAGGTCACAAGTCAGCCTGGCACACAAGGACCCAGACGCTAACAGCAGAGGGAGCTCCAAAGGCTGAGATGTGAGCGTCCAGCTGAGAGTCGCCCCCACCCCCGCTCACCCGAAAAGCATCACTATGAGCCAGGGCTCTCAGCGCCGACCCATGCGTATAGTGCACTGGACTTTAGACAACTGGAACACCTCCCTGAACGTTTACGCAGTATCTAAACATGCAAAGCCAAGGGCTGGATGGGGTGGGGAGTTCAGAGGGAGGGAAACAAGTAACGTAGGGAGCCTGCAACCTAGTAGGAAGCCGCAGACAGAATGAACACAACAATCTCAAGCAGCATTGGCTGATGGTGGTCGACCCTGAAACGGCTCTGGTGCACTGGCTGGTGGGAGGGAACCCGAGCCCTTTGGACAGCTTGGAGCCCCAAAGCCTGCAGGAACTCGGCAAGGTACCCAGCCTCTTGGGGACACATACAGAGGAGGGGCTGGCCAGTCCCCCGCCACCCACCAAGCAGCAGGGGCTCGTACCTGTGAAGTACTCCCCAAACTCCTGCTCCAGTTTCATGGCTTTGTCATAAATCTTATTCACCTGCTCGTACGTCTGCCGTCGGTTCATCTCCCTGCCAGACATGGGAGACAAATAGCCCCAAACTAGATTGTTTTGGTTTACATAAAGGATTGTTCCAGGCTCCCTGAAAACCCACTCAGCTGCTGAGAGTAGCCGTGGCCCACTGCTCCATGCCTTCCTCAAGTTCTGCAGGTCAGAAAGCCCAACCGGATCAGGAGCCTCATTGGCCAGAGCTGGGGCGCAGGCTTTGCTGAGCTTCCGTGGGTCTTACCCCCACCCAGCAAACCACTTCATCTCTGTTTCCCTTCCAGAGCTCTTCACCAGCTGGGACTGCCTGAGTCTCAGCAAATACTCACATAAGCGCTTCAATGGACTTGGGCTTGATGAAAACGGCAATGGGGTAAAGCTGAGCTTGCTGCAGCCTCTTGATGGCATTGCCAGAAACATCCAAGATGCAGTGCTTGCCCTGCCCAACAAAGACTGGCATGAGCCTGCCTGGTCCCTGTCTCCACAGCCCCAAGCACTTACCTAGCCGCAACCCCAATGTCCCCCCTGGAGGGAACCCAGGGACCCAGGGAAGCCTGGCAGATTCTACCCCTGCAGTGCCCAGGCTCCACATTTTGCTCTTACTACCCAGAACATGCCACACAGGCAGAGGTCCCCATTCAGGTGGGTGGCACTCAAGGGTAGGCTGCATAGGTGACAGGTACCTCCATCCCGGGGCTGGAGGTGTGCAGTGGGCATGGCTTCGGTCAGCAGCGCTGCCTGGTGGGCCCTGTGCTGGGAGGATGGAGCCAAGTGCAACCTGGGCAGCAGCATTTCTGCATTCCCCGAAGGTTACCTAGCAGGGCCAAGAATTGCCCCTCTCCTTACCCTCTCAGCCACTGCCCGCACTGACTGGATGCTGGTCCCATAGAGATTATCGTTGAACTGGCCTGCCTCGATGAACTTATTGTCCTGAATGTCCTTCTCCATCTGGTCTCGGGATGCCACAAAGTGGTAGTCTTGTCCATCCACCTCATTATCACGCCGAGGCCGAGTAGTATCTGAAGGAAGAAAGGTAGAGACCATGTGCCCCGAGGACAATGGCCTGCCCCAAGCCACAAGAGCGGATTTGCTACTCTCTCACCTGGGGCTCAGGGTCCTGCCAGTGTTTTTCAGATGGGGCAGGGGAAGGAACAGCTGGGAAGAGGTTTATCTTCCCTACTTCTCTTCTGAACCACCAGATCTCACACAGGGGTGATTCGCTGTCCCTTAAAGTAGACCAGAAAGGTGGGGCTTCCTGGACCAAGACATGGCAGAGCCTGGCACATGGAGTATGTGGGCCAGTGAACCTAACGAGCCATCCTGGGGGCCGTGCCATTAGGCTGCTCAAGCTTCTCTCCAAAAGAGCAAGCAGACCAGGCTGCTGACTCAGCCCTCCCCATGCCATCAACTTTGGGGGAACCTACTACTGCCTAATCTCTTCCAGGGTGTTGGATGCACCATGTCCCCAGAGAATCCTAGAACCCAGCCCTAGAGCCTTTCCATAAAACAGCAGAGCAACAACTCCTAGGCTACCAACACCTTCCCCCCAAAGTGTTCCTGGCCTCTTACGTGGCACACAGGATCCAAATTTATGTGGGAACTCTGAAATCAGGTCATCATTGACTCTGTCCTTCATTGGGCCCAAGATGATCACAGGCCTTGCATAGTGAACTGGAAAAAGAGTACATAGAGATGGTGAGCAAGGTCCCCAACTGGACAGCGTGTCCTACCTCCAACATCTGCCTGGGACACGGAGGCTCTGGGACTGCCGCTCAGACAGGGCAGAGCATCTGCAGCCATTCTCTAACTACAAAGACATCAGAGAGCCTTTAATTTGGGAATATCTAAGTCCAAGGCAAGTCTGAAATCAAAAGCATCTCCCCTTACAAGATTCAGGAGACACTTCTGCATGGGCACCAGCAGCTGAGCAAGGATTTTTCAGAGCAGCCACGAGAGGGAGAGACCAGGACTTTCTTTTAGTAGTGGCCACACCCACTGAAATCAGCCTCTGCTGTCCTTGTAAATCTGTCCTGGCTGCAGGAAGGCATCCAGGCAGTGAGCAAAGCCAGGGTGCCCACTGGCTGGCCTTCCTCCCCGCTTCTCTGTGATACTTGGAGGAAGCAGCCAGGGGCTGAGCATGCAGCAGGCTGCACCTCCCCACACACCACCCCTGTCCCTCTGCTGCCACAGCCAACTGCTGTGTTGGGCCCCATGACCAGGGACTAGTTTGAAGGCAGGACTCTCAGAAGGGGGCTTACTTTCTTGCCGGGTCACTGGCTCATATGACAAAATAGCATCCTCTTGTCCTTCTGCAACAAAAAAGGGAGATAAATCATTTTTAGATGTAACATATCATTAGCTTTTTATAATCTAACTCCCCATGTCCTCATGTCCCTGCCACATTCAGTTTGCTCCCACCTCTGCCAGTAAGCAGCCTCGTCAGGTGGTACATGCCCACCCCTTCCCTGTAGGCCTGTCTGCTACCCACTGAGCACAGGAAGCCCTTCACCACCCCTGGACAGGAGTCAGGGGGCCTCTTGTTCAGCGAAATATGGCTGACCAAAGGGACGTGACCCAGAAGCCATAAAATCTCCACCCAAAACCCCCATTTCTCAGGAACTGTCTGACAGGCAACAGTCAGCTGTGTTCAGTTGCCCTCCTGCTCTGGTAAAATTCACAGGGAAGCTTCAGCTGGTCAAGACACACTGTCCATGTCCCCAAATCTTTGGCCTAACTCTGCCCTTCCAGGGATCTATCTATCACTACCCCTTCACCAAAAGAAGTATCCAGAAAAGTGGCAAAAGGCTGGGATAAGGTCCCCAGCACCCTTCAGGAACAAAGCTAAGCCCTGCTCTCTCCTCCTGGCAGGGCCCTGTATATCCTAACAATAATGTGTATTTCCTACGACAGTCACCACGCCATTTGATGAGATGCCTGGAGGTCCTCGAGTGGCTGACAGCAGTGAGGGAAGGCAGCAATATGTACCTCAAGCCCAGGGTAACTGCTTTCAAGTTTCCTCTGAGCCTGGGCCCCAAGGGCAGCTTTCACGGGCCTCCAGCCACTTAATTCCTGAGAGGCCAATGCCGCCAAAGTTCACGGGGTTTGAATCATGGATTCTCTAACCTGGTCAGAGCATCTTGGAAGGAATACTGGGCAGTTATCTTACCATTTTGCACAGCACAAAGGCTAGGACAACACCCCACAGAAAGCATTTTTCTTTCAGTCCCTGAGCAAATCCACAAAACTGGCAGCACCTACTGCCCGTAATACCCACAGCAGGGATTTACTCACTGGCAGCCCACCCTCCTAGGGCACTGGGGATGCTTTCAAATCAAGTTCTGGCCAGAAGTGCAGAGCTCAGTCTCCTTGAACCCATGGCCTAAATCCTATCCCACAAGGACCAAATGGCCACAGCATTTCCAGGATCTCCAGTGTACATCAGAGGCTAAAAAGAGCACTAGCCTCTGAACAGACATGGCAGCTGTGCAATGCCGGAATGAGGACGGCTGGGATGCATGGTGGGGCTACATGACATGGGGCAGCATGACACACACTTACTGGAACTGCTTTCGCTGTCACTGGTGTTGGATGTCACTCCCTCTGCAAAGCCAACAAGAAAGAGACTCCGGTTCAGAACACACCACGGAGAGGTCACACGAGTACAAAACTCAAATGCTCCAGGAGTGAGACACTGAGCTGCTGACCACATCAGGCCATAGGAGGCCTGCCACATCCAGGCTGCCACTGGGAGGCACAGCTCCAATCCACAGCCCCTGGCCACCTCATACTTGTCCCCAAAGCCCTCTTGATCTGCCAGGTCCCTCCCTATACACTATGAGTCTTCCATCCTTCGGCAGCAGCCCCTTTATCTGAGCCAAATGAAAGGACTCAGGTGGCTCCCAAATACCATCTCAAAATTCATTTCCCAAGGCTACCAGTTGGAAAGGAAAGGCAGTGACAGGAGCAAAGAGAAGTCAAGGGACCGGGATGCTGCTCTGGCATCACCTCCCCAAGACATGGGCCCTGCAGTGCAGAACTAAGGGGCCAAGCACCAGGTGGGCCGTGCAGTCACAGTGGCTGATGCTGGTGCCCAGTGCATGGACTGACAGCCCTCCCACCACCGCTACCCAGGAGGGCCTGGCTTCTATGGTGACAGGGGAGTGCATTCCCCCACCAGAAGACACACCTGTCAAAACACACTGACAACAAATAGATGAATAACATTTGGAAGACAAGATGGCCCTTCTGTCTCAGCCCGCTGGGACCTGCTACACCTGAGTATGGGGGGATCAGCGGCACTCAAAGGAAGCCCAGAGCACAGTGTGGCCCAAACAGAGCCCACCGCTCCCAAGACGACAGGTGAATGAAGATGAAACATGGACACAACAGACTATGGAGAGACAGTGCTCGTTTCAGCCAAGAGAACACCGTTCTCAATTGAGATATGCTGTGGCCCCCGAGGAAGACCTAGCTGAGTCACCCTCTATAGCTAGTTCCTGAGGAATCCCCTGAGGAAGCTCCCTTCCCTTCCCTCCCTTATTACTTGTTGAAGGAGAGTACACACTGGCAGAAGCTGCCCGGCATGGCTGCATGTATGTGCACCTCTGTGCACAGCAGGGAAACTAAGGCCCTGTCATCTAAGCCTCTTTGTGTTCCATGCTAGGACCATTTTCTGGAGAGGAGAGGCAGTCAGTTTTCCCAAGCTGAAGCACTAGATATAGATGGTCCCTCAATGCTGCTGAGGCTCCCACCAGCTCAGCCCCGTAAAGATGCTCCAGGGCAAAGCTGGCGTGCTTTGCTGAGGCCCCTGGACCAGTTAGGACATCCCAGGTACATGCTGGGTAAAGGGCTTCACAGCACTCTTGGCCCTAGTTAGAGACTGAAACTCAAACCAGTTTTGAGCCCAATTCTGTAGAGCTGTGTCACTGGGACAAGAATCTGACCAGTGGGCCCCCCTCACCTCAACAGGCTAGAGATAAACTTGCCTCACTTCTAAGGTGGGGTGCCAAAATGGCTCCCCACCACTGCAAGGACAAAAGGAGAACATAAATATGAATGATAGGCTTTTATTAAGGGCACCAGGGGTCCAGAGCCAAAGCGTGACATTCACAGCCACTTGTCCCTCCTCCGGCTCACAAACCCTTGCCCCCACCACCCTCCCCCCTCCCCCACATCCCTGCACCCCCAACCCCAGCATCTCCATTCATGCCAGAAATATAGTTAATAGTGTGGAAGTTTGACTTACTCAGGTTCTTTGCTCCATAATAATCGTCACTTAACCCAGGGAAGTCCTGATTTCACAGACAGCAAGGACAGAGGGAGGGAGGGAAAGAATTGGGGAGAAGAGAGAGAATAGAGAAAAGAGACAAGGGGAAGGAAGAATACAGAGCTAGGTGAGCATTAGTGACAGAAGTATGAAATACTATGAAGACCTATAACCACAGTGAGGTGGAGAACTCTGCTAAAGAAAGAACATCCCAGGTCAGAGGAGATGCCTGGACTCCCACTGCCCCAATTCACTGCCAGAGGGCCTTGGAGTGGACTGCCTTCCTAGGCGGTCTACAGCCTACAGGCCAACAAGCAGGGCAGTGACTTTTCAAGGCTTACAGTACCTGCTTTGATTCAATTTGTGGTTACAGAGCCCAGCTCCTGCTGTGCCCCTAAAATCACCATCTCCCTCTGAGGGGGCTCAGGGGAGTGAGTCCCTAGCGCGGCAGGGAGGCAGGCAGAAGTGTCATCACCCAGTCCCAACCCACACTGTCCCAACTGCTCAGAGAAAGCTCCATGTAGGCTGAGGTGTGCCTTGCAAGCTGACCTGGGAAGAGCTCAGCTTCTGGAGAAGAACTAGGCAGTTTTCAACTCTCATCCAACAAGCAAACCCACTGCCCTTAGCTAGGCCTGCCCAGTGCCCTCCCCAGGCTGGGCTCACCGCAGAGGTCCGGGGACTCATCCAGTGAACTGTGGTGACATTACCTCAAGCAACTGTCCCAGATCATCTCCTGCAGCTCAAGAGCAGAGCCAACTGCACCCAGTACTTATTTAGCTCCCCAGGACAGTGAGCCATACCCTCCATCTGGATGACAGCACACCTGCATCTACTAGCTACCACCCCAGATGGCAGTGACCTACATGTACCAGGGTCGTGAATCAGTTTGGCCTAGAAGAAGTCCCTAACAAAACTAATCAGTCTCCTGCCAGTTCCATAGCCTGGGACACCAAGACCCTTTTTTGTGAGGTGGAAGAGGAGAGATTTACAATTCATAAGCCATGTGAGAAATATTTCACCAGCCTGACCTGGTGTTTAAAGTTAGGGTCACAGCAGTAATTTTCTGAAACATATGGCAAATAAGAATATTTCACGGGGTCAAACTGGTTCTTAAAAGTTCCTTTAGCTCAGCTTTATAGCCTTTTCTACCAAACCAGATTTGTTTCTCAATACATCTTCGGACAATTTGGCCAATGTTGAGGCATTCCACCCCTCCATGTCAATTCCTTTAAGTGGAAAGGATTTTACTTTGAAAGCTGGCTCTGTAAGCACTCTGGGATGACAGTGAGTCTGGTAGAGCCACATGATAACTTAGGTGCATATGCACATGCATGTGATTCAAGAAGTAGGCCTGACTCCAGGTGTCCAGGGAAGAAAAGGCTCTTCTCTTGACACAGATGAGTGATGCTGAGGAAAAGAAAACACAAGTGGAAGAAGGCAGGAGAGAAAGACTGAGTCCTCACACCTGGTTCTCTTGAAAAAGCATTTGTCTGTACCTGACACCAGGGCTGAGAGCTGCTCATCACCACCACAGCAGAGCTCGGCCTGGCACTCCCTGGGCCAGGGACATCCTGGTAGACCAGCCCTGGGACCAGTTCTACTCATAGCCTCCAACATTCTTTCAGACTGAGGAGCTGGACAAAAAAAACCAGCGTCTACTTGCACAGACCAATTTCTACCCTGACTACAAAGAAGCATGTGCACGCACATACACACCTGCGCACACACACACTTTCCCCAGTTTCTCATAGAGGGCGGAACAAATGAGGTGGCGAGGGTGGGGCTGTGGGCAGTCTGCTCTCTGAACCCTGCTGCTACTTACGTTCCTGTATGCTGCTCTCCTGGGCCATGTTTTCTTTGCTCTTGTAAAATGGAAACTTTCGAGAGAGGCGGAAACTCTTTTTACGTTTCTTTTTGATCGACTGTGAAAGAACATGAAGATGGAGGGGAAGGACAGAAAAAAAAACAACAATGGATTTTAAAGCATGCAAGAAAAACTAAAATGGAGACAATGGTGAGCTAAATAAAAGACCATCTCTCACAAATGGAGTCTATGAGATTAAATGAAAACTGATGTAGGAGGAAAATTATGTTTACAAGAAAATGTTGTAGGGTTGTTAGAGGTTTCTACCCAAGCCAGACTCACAGCGCTCACTAGTACTTCCTAAAGGACAAAGGTCCCCATAGCCTCCTGTACACATGCCCTAAGGTGCCACTGACATACATGGAGCCATCTACTCCCTCTCTCCTCCCTTTACTGCTCCAGAAGTTCTTTGGCCTGTGAAGCTCACAGAAGAAGAGGGGTGAATAGAGAGGGCCCTCATGCCTCATTTGCACACTGAAGGGTGGCCAGAGCTCTGAGGCTGACCCTCCTGGCTGGATGAAGAAGTCAGATTCTTCTCAGGGTCCCCATAGCTCCACCAGGGTCTACAGCCAGGGAGACACCCACGAGTGGTTTCATGTGCTCCAAGCAAGCCAGCCTTCCAGACAGTCCAACTCTAATACATCTTCCAGAACCAGTCACCCAGGGGGAAGAGTACAGGTTTGTGAGTGCCCTTTCTCTGCTTTCTGAAAAGTAGTCAGTATTTGGATAGCACAAAGCCAGCTCCCTAAAAAAAAAGAGATTCTGTTGTATGCCCCAGTTCTCTCATCTACCAGACAGACTCCAGGTTTCTTACTCCTCTTCACATATTGGCTGACTTCCTTGGGGATCCCCACTTACCCTGTTTGACTCAATCATCCCCGTCCTGGCATGGAACTTCACGGTTTTCAATCGAGCTCGCTCTTTCTTTTCCACCCTATTTTGGAGTCAGAAAGAAGTCCTGTTACTGCCAGTGCATGGTCTCAGCAGCCACTTTTTAGTTCACTGAGTCATAACCACATCCTGAACACCACCTTGCTACCAAAAAGGAATTATAATAACAAAGCACATCAGCTGCCCTGAAGCACCTTTTAGTATCATAAGTGACAAGGAAATCAATACCAAGAAGAGGGCACGGAAGGCCTCCATCATGACCATGACAGCTCACCTCTTTTTACTGGGGATCACACCGATCTGCTCACTTTCCCCATGTGGGGTCACCAGTCTTGCCTGCCACCACTCATCATCAGAGGCATTAATAACATGAAGGATGTCACCATAGGAGAAGCTGAGCCCCTGGCTTGGCAGGCAGCTATCCCGAGTCCGGTCATAATCAAACAGGGCCCTGAAATACACAGTGGAAGATGAAGTCATCATCTCAGCCTTAACTGCCAGGAGACTGGCACCTGGGAAGGATGGCGCAGGAAGGCCAACCCAGAGAGTCCCTGGAGACCCGGTGGCCTCACAGCAGATGAAAAGGAATTTTCCATGGGATCACATCTTTCTTTCAGTCCCAACATTGCCAGTATGTGCCCCATTCTCCCAACAAGGAGCATAAGGGAAGTCCCCTGCGAGTCCCATCTCCTCCCAGCTTCTGGACACAAGGCGAAAGTCCAAAGTAGAACATGATCAACAGTCTGCTCTTTCACCCACATCCTAGAGAAACAAGTTAGCTCTACCAATGGGCTTTTTTCAGTTTACAAACATATCTTCAAAGAGTAGTTGAAGATAAGGCAGAAAAATGTTAACCACTACCTCAAACAATGAATTGTAAATGCTGTAGAAACAAAAGAAAAATGGGTCCTGTGCCCCAAAGGAAAAGCTAAAGCTGATGTCGACCTACCTGAGGATAAAGTTGGAAGGGACCCTATGAAGGAGTCTCTGAGCTCACTCATACAGGGGGAAATGGGGCTCAGGGAGGAAGAGTAATGTGACCTAGGTCTCAGACCTAATGACTGGACCAGGACCCAGGTCCTCTGACCAGACATGCAGAGGAAAGAGATAGAGGGGGAGGTGGGAGAAGGTGGGGGAGGCAGCTCTACCACTGGACTTATGGAACAAGGAGACCCTCTTGGGTGCAGCTGGGAGTCCAGAAATGCGGTGGAAATAAAGGTCTGGGGCAAATTTCAGAAGACCTTGAATAAACCTGACCCAGTGGGCCCTGAAGCTGTCAGAGAAGGAAGTGAGGCTCTCAGAAGAGCCTTAGGAACATTAACCCACATCATAAGTAATAGGAATGGTGGGGGTGGGGAGGCAGGGGTGGGATTTGAAGGCAAATTTAAACTATCCACATATAAGCTCAATCCTTCAGGAGCCACTGCTGACTTGGCTCTGGTGAAGCTGGTACTTTACACCAGAGTTTCCTGCTCAGGCAACAAACTCACCTGCATGAAGGGTCTACTCTTCTCATCCACTGTCTCTCTCCTCACAGGGACTCACCACAAATGGGTGGGCTCAGTGAGAAATTCATATTTTTCTACTTGCAATCTAGGCACTGTCTTCTTCACACTGTCTGCTAACATCTTCGCACAGCCAGCCCGGCAGATTTCCCAGAACCAGCTCCAAGACTTAGATGTCTATCTGCAATGTGGCAGGCTGTGGCTCAGCAGGTAGCTGCAAAGTAAAACCAACTACTTCCCCATGCGCAGGCCCAAAAGAAATACAATGTAGTAAAGCCATGGAGAAGGAATTACCCAGCTTGCTTTTTTAAACCTTTTGAAACAGAATCCTTAAGAAATCAGTGTCAGATTATTTGAAAAGGAAAAATACCCAAACTCTGACAATAAGCCCTTTATCTCCCTCAATTTCCACACTCAGAGCATTAAGGAGAGAAGCTGAGGTTCATCAGCAGATTAAGGAGGCACTCTGTCCATGAGCTGCTTTCTGGGCTCTCTGCACAGAATCAAACCAGGCTGTGTTCGCACTCCATTCGAAATTGAGTTTCCTAAAGCAGGTATTCCGTCAGATGTTCTCATGGAGACGGGCATGCTGAAGACCTTATTCTAAGTGACAATCAGAAACACTCAATGTCATCACAGGCTCCAAAGATGAAAACAAATGTAGAAAGGAAAAGAACAGACCTTGGCTTAAGTGTGAATTAGTTTGGGGATGGAGGGAAGGAAGATGTTGAAATGAATTAGAGGAGAGATTGGGATGAAGTTGTAGAAGACTTGAAGGGAGAGTTTACTGGTTACAAGTTTAAAACATAACATGGACAATCCGATATATATTTAGCACCTGACAGAACCATACTTGACCTTTGGCAACAGCAGTAAGAAGCTGGAGTACATATGGTAAGGTGGATGTAAACATGTTTTCTGGATGTCTGGATGGTAACTTATTGGTAATTTTTTAAACATCTGAGATTTAAATAGAAGTAATATGCCAGTTTAATTCCAAGATGAATTTCAGATACCTGACAACATTAAAACACGTACAACATGAGCTAAGTGCAAACAAGTGCGTGCACATCCTCGGATTGTCCGCGAGCTGGGTAATTCCTCCTCCATGGTTTTACTACATTCTGTATTTTCCACAGCACTCAGCCATCCTTCCTCCTGTTCTCCCAAATTAGTTATGTCATATTTTGGTGAACAATGTTTAGTTTTACATTATTATGTAAATGGTATCCATAGAGGACTATACCCCCTTTCTTATAAACTTTTCCTACTATTTCTTTCCTGGTAGAAATAAATGCCTAATTTTTGTATTTGCTTACATTTCTATATCCCTATTATTTTCCAGCTCCATTATTTAACACAGAGGGCTATTTAGATTTGCTATTCCTTTTTGTTACAGCTAAAATATCTGAAAGCAGTTGCCTTTGTGGAGCAAGAAAAGGGGAGAATAGGTAAGGGATTAACTTGTTTTGCATATGCTATTGTAACATTTGAGGCTTTATTCTTATGTATTAATTTCATTAAAAGTTAAAGTAGTATATGCTCATTATATAACATTTGAAAACTACAAAGTCTAAAAAAAGAAAAACCACATTTAATATAACCTAACAACAACCATTCCTCATATTGTTGTGACATTGTATAATGTGTAATAAACACAAAAACAAAAAAATACACATTTCACTATGTTGGAAACATGGTATGTATATACAGTTTTGTAACCTTAGTTGTCACCTGCAATTACATCATTAATATTTCCTGTATCCTTGACTATTCTTCAAAACCAGTATTTTTAATGATGATACAATATTGTATTCTTAAGGACATTTATCCATTAAACACATATTTAGGAGCATCTAATACAACCAAGGTGCTGTTCTAGGCACTTAAAAGAGGGGAAATCAATATACCATGCACCTGGCTTGAGTCACTTACTTCAGATGAGGAACATGTTTGGCTCTAAGTTCCTTGGCAAACAAGGCAAAAAAAGGCAAATGCCCAATAAAAAGTGGTACCTGAGTATCTGGATTTTGTTTGATGAATCTGTGAAATGAGGAATACTGAACAACAGAAAGGACAATGTTATTTTTAAAGTATGATTTTGTTAAAGACATAAGAGCAGCATCATATTTGAATTTGAAATTCTGAACTATAATGTTCTCATTTGAGAATGTGAAAGATGAATTAACAAGAATTTCCTTTTCTATCAAGCAGAAGTGCAAATGCAAAAGGAGCTTTGCAGAACACTGGTGCCTTGAAACCATCCTGTTCCCCACTTCCTATCTAATAAAGGAAGTCCCTTCCATATTCCTCATGTGGCTTTCCAGCTCTAGGATTTAAGTGGTCTCAGTTTTTCCTGGGCCCTCTCTACCAGGTTAGGCTAAGCATTCCCAATTCCTTCAACAAACAGTCCTTCTAACTGTCATGATTTTCACATTCTCCAAATCTGTGATGTGCACTTTCTCTAAATCTACTTTGTCTCTTTTGAAATTTTGCTTGACTATAAGCTAGAAAACTTTCTCATAGATGATGAAAAACAGGCCCTCAGCTAGAGTTGTGTGGCAGGCCCCTCTTGGACCAGGGCTCTTAAATCTAGAAAAATTTCATGAGGTCTAAGTCACAGTCACATTTGGAAAAAAAAATAATCCTAACTAGTGGTTAACAAAGGGAAGGGGGTGGAGAGGGTGGGTAGGGAGGGAGGAAGAAGGGGATTAAGGGGCATTATGATTAGCACACATAATGTAGGGGGGGTCACAGGGAAGGCAGTACAGCATGGAGAAGACAAGTAGTGAGTGACTCTATAGCATCTTACTATGCTGATGGACAGGGACTGCAATGGGGTGGGGGGGCCCTGAGAATATGGGTGAATATGGGGGTGATAATATGGGTAGTAACCTCAATGTTGCTCATGTGAAACCTTCATAAGACTGTACATCAATGATACCTTAGTAAAAAAAAAAACCTAACCCTTCAGTTGGCTATGTCTAGAAAACACCTTTCTTCCATTATTTAAAGACTCGCTGAATATACTTTGTATGGAACACTGTGTTCCATACTTGGTGAGGCACAAAGGTAGGACAAACCAAGCTGAAAAGCATTCCAAGGGAGCAGAGATCCAGTCCAGCTTGGGGAAGCTAAGAGGAGGTGTTGACTTCTGAACCAGGCCCCAGTGAAGGTTCAGGACTTCAAAAGACAGAGGTGGGCAGAGGCAGGTAGCCCAGGGTGTGCCTGGGGGGTCAGGAATACCCGCACAGCCCTCAGGAGAGGGGCAGGCTGGGGCCTGCACTGGGCAGGCTACAGTCCAGCTACGGAGTCTGGCATTCCATTAGCAGGCCTTGGGTGGCCCACTTCACTGCCTTGACTTTCTTATCATTACCAGGCTAAACTTTCATGCAGAAGTAAAAGAGAACAGGCCCAGGTAGTAAAGTCAAACCACCTTTCAAATGTCATGTATTTCCTGAAATTGAAAAATGTAAACTAGACCTTAATCAATTTGAAAAAATATCAATTACCTACCTAAAATCTTTAAGACGCATGCTAAACTGTGGCCATCTAGGAACGACAATCCATCTCTCTTAGGGATAGCCTGGACACCCTGAGGAGTGACAGGGATTGGTACCTAGCTACAAATGCCTTAGGTCAGGACTGGTAAGAGGACAAAGGAGCACCTTTCTCTACAACCTGGGTGTATCTTCCTGCCACTCCTTTGTATCCTTAGGGCAAGCACTAGAGAAAGTCAAGGAGGATACCCCACTGCCCCTTCTAAATCAGACTGAGCCACCATCCTGGATCCAAATCATACACATGGAAGGCCTGGATGACACAGCAACCAAACTTTTCAACCTGACTCAAAAAGAGGGTGAGCTGGAAAAAACAAAGCAATACTTAATTGTCTTCAGACCCCAAGAAAGACCATAACAAGCACTCTGCCACCTTTGTCCTGCCC